TTATCGAAATTGATATCGATACTGTTATTGATTTTGCTATCGATATTTTCGGAACTTATCGATATAATGGTCGATATTTTTATCGATTTTGTTATCGATATTTTGATTGATTTTGTTATGGATTTTGTTATCCACGTTGTTATCGATTTTATTATCGATTATTTAACGATATTTTTATCGATTTTGTTATCGATTTTGCTATCGATTTTGTTGTCGATATTTTTATCGATTTTGTCATCAATACTTTTATCGGTTTTGTTACCGATATTTTTAATCGATTTTGCTATCGATATTGTTATCGCTTTTGTTATCGATATTTTTATCAGTTTTACTATCGATATTTTTATCGATTTTGCTATCGATGTTGTTATCACTTTTGATGTCGATATACTTGTCGATTTTGTTATCGACTTTGTAATCGATTTTGTAATCCATTTTTTGATAGATCTCGTAATCGATATTTTTATTAATTTTGTTATATTTTTATCGATTTTGTTATCGAGTTTGCTATCGATTTTGTTATCGATATTATTATCGATTTTGATATCGATATTGATATCGATTTTTTATCGATATTACTATCGCTTTTGTTATCGATATTTTTTTCTTCGTGTGTGCTTTCGTTTTTGACTTGGATATGCTCTTAACCATACGACGTATTCTACGTTTAAATTTAGCGGCTGTATCTCCGATGCAGCCTGCAGACCAAGACGAAGGCGCTGGACTGTTCCTTTTTTCTATATTTTTTTGCAACGTTGCTTTGACCAGGGCTTGAACCTAGGTGCTGCGGAGTGGAAGCGCGCACTGCTTACCACTACACCACCAGTTTTGTAAGCACTATCCATAGTTTTCACTCATACATACATTATTCAGTAACATAAATATTTCAGAGCGCAGATGCGCCAAAAACCGTTGATAAACTTTTGTTTCTTAACAAAAATATAGACATATTTTAGAAATTATGATCTCATTTTCAATAAAAGTTGTTATGTTTAATTTTTGGACTTTTTTAATCAAAATTATCGATAGTACTATCGACAGTCTCGACATTTTCGATAGTATCGAAACTTACGAAACTATCGATGGCCGTTGGCAGTAGTTTCCCAGATCTACATGTCTGTCCTCCGCCCGTCTGTCCGTGTACACGATGACTCGAGAAAAAATTGAGATATGAGTTACGATTGAAAATGGGCAAAATCGGACAATAGCCACGACTACTTCCCATATAACGGTATTTTCTAAATATGCAAAAACTATTTATTATTATTATGAAATTTTTGGAAAATGGGAGTGGCCCCGCCCACTTATGCTGCGATGCTCTATCTCTGAAGTCCCTTTACCAATCCCCACTTAACTCGGTACGTTAATCTACCTTGGCTCAAAAAGGCGATATGTTGAAAATTTTGGAAATCGGACTTAAGTTACCGCCAAAGTTTTGCCGGAACTTATACTTCTTCACTTGTTTTAGTATAAATAACACTTGTAAAGTAAAAAATTTAAATTTTTTGTATGGGTGGCATATACCATGCATCATACTGGCGAGTCGGTTTGGAAGTGTTTGTGAAACTAAATACAAGTATGTGTTAGTTATACCGACATGACTCTTGGTATGACTCTGAATGATTCAACTGTGTGTAGTCGAAGGCGAGTCAACACGTACACAAATGACTCGCAAGTCAGACGCACCGTGTATGCCGCCTATTAGCTTCTTAAACTTCAATTATTGGACAATATGTATACACATATGTAAGTATGTATGTATGTATGTCACTTGTGTTCCACACCCACATTTTAAAAGCTCAGTTAGTCTAGACTTTTAATTTCCGTAACTTAACTTAACTTAATATTTTGGCCAACCTGTTATATGATTTTCGTTTTTGCATTTTTTAAATAAGTATAAATGAACGTAAACACATTTGTTTGCATGCATTTTTTGATATGGCATTTTAAGTGACAAACTGCCAAAGAGCTAAGTCTAGACTAACGGAGCTTTAAACCCTTAGAAAAAGGCAGCTAAGTTCTGTTCAGTAAAAATACAGATCACTGCCGCTCAGACTCTGCGACCAAACGCTATTGGGCTGACATCATTTGCGAACGTTTAAGAAGTACATACTAACTACATATATACATACATACATACATATGAAGTATAATTTCATTGTATACAATATATTTACATATGTGTGGCTCATGCTTTTGAGCTATTAGGATGCGCTTGTGTGCTGACCGTTTTGCTTTTTTGAAAACCGAATTTGAATGAAATCACGCCAACAATCCATGTCTGAATATAGGCACGTATGCACTTGTAGAATAAATAAGTAAAAAAAAAAACAAACGAGCTGAAACTCGATGCTAAATTAGCGTAAATAGAATTACAATCAATTGTTGTTATTTTTTTAATGTTTTTGAGTATTATTGTTTTTAATAATAAAGCGTGCAAAAAACGCGTTTGCTTTGAGCCATGAACACGCCCTGTGGGGAAAATCTCTAGTTCTGAACTGGTGCGCTTCTAGTACATTTAGACCCACTACTGGTTCGCGATAAATCTCTTTTGCATGCAAGCAACTGGCGAATTTAACATGCCGATGTCCTAGGAAGTGTCAATTGCCCCCCGCTGCATCCCTTTTTCGATAGTTGCGAACTAGTCCTAAATTCTATAGTTCCGAACCAGTTCTGAAATCGACAGACGAAAGAAAAAAGTATCATGATTTTTCAATCTTTTTGGTACTTCCAAATTTGCGATTTTAAGTTATTTTGGAAGAAATGTTTTTTCAATTTGAAATTAAATTTGTTTGAATGATTGCAAGAAATGTACGTTTACATACCTTTAGCTGTAGCTGAGTTTGCAGAGGTGCTCGCTGTTATTTTTTAGATTCCAGACGGTCCCAAGATGTTGAAATATTAAAACAAATTTTAGTTTGTATTACCAAGCTATGAAAAAGCATCTGCGAAGCGCAGAATAGAAGCGTATTTGAACGAAAAAGCCGCCG